AAAAAAACTTGGAAATTGGTCATTTTTCGTTGTTGATTTGCAGAGGACGGCAAAGAAATGTACCAAGAATTATATCGCGCGTGCACAGCCATTGTTCTGCTCATTAAACCTTCTGATTGGTGACGTTCTCGTTACCGTTGCCGTCGTGTTTTGCGCAAGATATCTATTGAAATTTGAAAACGCAGCTTGATTTCTACTGTTAGGCCCACCGTCCACACTAATCCGTCACGAAAACGCAGCTTTTCGAAAACGCTCTTCAAACCGGAGGAATTCGAAACACCGCCGGCTTTTCGTTTTTGTGCGGACGGAAACGGAGCTTTTCGAAACCGACGATATCACGACAATCAAGTGATTTTCCTGTCCGAGTTTTCCTCAGACACAAATCCAAAATGACCGGTGATTGTTGCGCTTTCAAATTTCTCCGGCGTAGTGCGGAGGGGTCTTACATGTAATGACATTTTAGCGACGAATCGCATTAAAATTTAAGAAAAAGAGCCAATTTGTAGCTCTTGTCGCGTCTTACCTGCTGCCTCCCAGGGCATTCTCTATATCTTTTATGTACATCGCCTTCTCTAACTTTTCTTGCTCTCGAATCTTGTCCACAAAAGGACCAGATCGTCCCTCTTCGTCCTTATACAGCAAAGAGAAACACCAAGAATTAGATGCGTGCATGGCGTTTCCACAAAGGTAATCAATGAATGCACGCGAGAATACTTAAAAACAGATGTACATCTGGTTTGAGCGTTAATTTTATCCATTTGGAGCGGAAAAATGAATAATGAATAATTCAATCAATCAATCGACCGACCGACCGATCCGCCAATTAATCAATCTATCAATCAATCAAACGCTCAAGCCAATCAAAGGCTCAAGCCAATTAGTAGACAAGACCAGACTGCTTTGAAGATGATTTCCAGTCCGTACTGCGCACTCTCGAGAGTTTGTTTACGTTTTGTTTCATGAAAGACATCACAAAATGTAAACATTTCGCAACTGCTTACATGAAGTAAATTCAAAGTTTCATGTCATTACCGGTACCACCGTTATGGATACAAAGCTTTGTGCTTCGTTCTTTCTCATAGCACATGATGAAACAACTTCGCAGCTGTAAAAATCAATGAAGCTGTCGGAAGAAGAATTTGAAAGGCCTCAAAGATAAGGTATGTGGTTCGTAATGAATAACATTGATTCGCATTCCATCGAGTGAGACTTATATTATGCTTATAAACATTAGGGTGCTGAGATTGCGCAGTACTGACTGGAAATCATCTTTGTCATCTTTAAAGTAGAAAAACCCGTTCCCTGTGACGTTTTCTGACTTTCCAAACAAAGCTAACGGAATTTTGGAGTATATCTTTAAATAGAAATCAGCGTGTTTACTGAAGAAAATAAGTAATTAACAGTATGTAACAAAAGCTAATGTTAACACTTCACACTACAGCAAGAACAATTAGTAGAAGGAAGGCATTAGACACTCCTCTGGCCCAGTCCCCCACCTGGGGGCAAGGAACTGAAGAAGGCAAATTTAAAGCCAGTCAAAGTCCTACAAATGCAGCACAGCAAAGTAGCGTAACCTTAAGCGCCTCATCTGTCAAGATATGACGGTGATCCAGTTGAGGTTAACATCACCTGAAACACGTTCATATCATACCGTTCATACCGACACTGAAGCACTGGTTCGAGAAAGCTCTGGTGTTTTAATCGCTCAAATTCACACAACGAATGAACTAGCCCACAAAACGTGAAAGAGACGGGTCTGTATTTTTTTTTTCCTTACCTCAGTAAACAAGTTTTTGTATTGAACGCTTTCTCCTGGAGCTTCCTGTTCACAAGCTTTCATTAAAGCTTCTATTGTCTCGTCGTCTTTCAACGGGAAGAACGACCGTAAACACTGCTCTAAGTCTGCTCGGGACAGCGTACCCTGAAAGAAGACGGCATTGATCAGTTTGAATTTTCTCTTTACCATCCCATACCTGATTCAAGTAAGTTGGTGATGAGAATAAAGGACTCGATCATTCAAGAAGAAATTCTCTCATTTGAGGGCAAAGGCTTAATGTAACGCCGAATTCTCCTNCTAAGATAAAATTCCCTGCGACATATTTATACACCTGAGTTGAGAGAGGCAATTTCAGAGCGTCTTTTTTTTTCCACATTTTTATTTCCATTATTAAATACAAGGTGTAGTGCTATTATTAAGTGTCAATAACATAATAACAAGCGATAATAATATAATTATTTGATCTATAGTGTAACAGATCATAATTTAGTATCAATAAATAATTTCCATCTGGCCTGAAATTTCCTTTGCGTGTTGTTTTTTAAGGCTATGTACTTTTCAGTCTTACATTTCATATTGATCAGGTCTTTAAAAACAGTAATATTTGGTCTGAGACTTCGGCAATTTCAGAGTTAAGGGTGTCGAGTTTCCGCTTTGATTCCAGGGCTCAAATCCAGACATGCACTTTGATCCTGTGCAGAATCCAGCCCAAACTGCGACTCAGCTCCCATTTGTCTTACCAGTAAACTTAGCATAAAATGGCGAACTTACAAGAAAACGTAAAAATTAAAATGTCGATACCTACCTCTTTCTGTAGTATGCCATAGAAGAGCCCTATCCTTGGATCGTGTGAGTATCGTCCGCATGCATCGTACAGGTTATATCCCCACTCTATGATCATGTTCTCGACACCAAACCGCCGCTGAAGATACTGGTACAGGAACTCGCCCAAGTCATCACGCTCGCCGTCAGGTTTCTGCAGCACCAAGAAGTATCAATTGGAAATATGTCAGAGATACATTAAGATAAACATCAAGTGTAAAGCGTGGCATGAACAGATACAATTTGTCAGCAAACGAATGGCCTCGTACAATCTCGCGTACCTCGGCATCATGAGCAGCTTTCTCTTGCCAGATATCTTTAATAAGCAGGGAAGTGTCTCTTTTTCCAAGCCGTCTGTTACGAACTTGTCCTTCGTATCGTAAGAACTTAGGCACTTCCGGACCTGTGCCCTGTTGGGGGAAAAAACAATTGAAAAGATTAAGTTTAAAAACGTAAACAATCTCCACACTAACTGAAAAAATGTTTCAAACAAATTCATCGACAGCAACATTTACTTTCAGGTCCGAAATTTAAAATTAAGGAACCCAGCGTTTCTCTATAACTTTCGAAAGTTATCTGACTGAATGTAGCCCGCAGCTGGCGCAATAACGCCGCGCAAAATGGGCGCTCAGACAATTAAGCAATCTTATTGGCTAAAGCATACATGGCACGAAAGTGGTCAAAACACCAGGTCCCAGTTGTTCAAAGGGTGGATAACGCTATCCACTGGATAAATCACCATCCAGTTAATAGGGCAGTTTGTTTCGTCAATACTTAACCACTGGACAGAGATTTCTCAATTGGATAGCGTTACCCAATGAAACTTGGAACAACTGGGGCCTGGAGGTCACTTACTCAGCCTGGATTTGAAAACGCCTGTAAAAACACACGTCCTGTAACACTATTTTCCCCTTCATCACTATTATATTCGTAGTATTTTCAATATACAAATTACCTGTCCCGTGAAGTACTCGGCGCCAGTATTCACTCCGGCCTGTATGATAGCTATGTCTTGTCCTGTCATCTCCGCTAATAAAATATCAACAAGCTCATCACTGCTTCTGTCCTGTGACAACTCGTTCCAACGATCTGTTCCACCTTCAACATACTGGCCACACTTCTCCCAGTGAGGCCTGAAAACATCAACAAGGACAAAATAATGAACACAAGGAAACAGTCGCCGGGCATTGTTACTTATGAGCGAAACTGTGACCTGATTACATTTATGGTAATACAGTTATATATTATGTCGAATTATTCTCACATTTTTTCTGGTTCTTGCTTATGATCTATTGTATAGATGACGTCATTAACATTTTTTTTTTTGTTTCTTCATTATATGAAACGTGTAGATTCCATGTTGCCGTGCGTCTGTTCAGTGACTGATCACAGAAGACGTCAAAATGTGGTAAGAACATCGGTGAGACACTCGGCTATCGCCTCGTGTGCCACTTTTTTGTTCTTATCACAAAATGATATCGTGCAAATGTGTCCCCAATTAATTTCTTAAGCTAAATACCATTGACACTTAAATAACGTCTTTCATTCATTCATTATCACTTTTGACGTCATTGAAGAAGATTAACAACTCTGCACATCGAATCAAGAACACAAGCACAGTCTGTCTGACCTTGGCGTGGCGCTTCTTCTCATCTGTTCACAGTCTTGTGCGTATTGGTCTCTTTGATCCACAACTTTCTTGTGTACTTCGAGAATGGCACTATAAAGAAGAAAAATAAGTTGGCACAGTTCTCTTCTACGGCCCCTCGGAAGTGGGGGAAGGGGGAGGGGGCGGTAGGGGGCATTCCTACACGATATGTATGTAACGTCCGGATTCTCTCCCCAACAAAAATTCAAAGCTAGGCGCTTTTTAAGTACTTACTTGTGTTCTTGCATGAGTTTTTGATTATCCACAGTGAAAGTCTCCATATCTTTTTGTAATTTCTGTCAAATAAAGAGCAGCATTCTTTAGTGTTTCAAATAAATTGGTAGTCAGTTAATCAGTATTTCGACGACACTACTACACTTCAACACGGGAGCGGGATTTTCTTGAAGGATTTTCACGTAAGAGCAGTAAACCATGGCACTATCCTCCTTGATAACCGTCTTTTTTGAAAAGCTTGCATGACAGATTTTGAACAAGGATTTGATCAATTTAAATGAAATATCATTCACTTCATATAATTATACATACATGTGGAAACTTGTCAAGGAAAATATATTTAAGACATGAAAAACTGCTCATGTAAATAGTCTTTACAGGGAAGAAATGGAGGACTGCTTACATTAAACTGAGCTTCGAGTCTTTCAAAGTCTCTTCTTGGTACAACATCACCATAATCAGCTTCCATTTCAGCCAGCTTTTGATTCTTAGCGTCCAGGTCTTCACGCGCTTTCCTGAAACAAGGAAACAATTACAATGTCAATACAACAAAAAGGCAAGTCTGCATTACAGTACTTCTCCACCTCCCAAAGTAACCGTGAAATCTGATTGGTCAACCCGTGGGAAACCAATGAAATGATATCAAAAATCAGTCTCAAACTCGTTCATAATTCATCAAGTTAAAACAAAGAAAATCACAGCCGTAAAGGAGGTTTGGATACCCGGTCTTAATTAGCATAGATTGAGCCGATTTTACTTCTCCGTTAACTCCTTAGTTTTTATTTCGATTGAGAAGAAATATCAAACACCCGAGACAGTGTTTCATCGGCTATCCAAACACCTCGAATTTCGTCAAAAATACTCCGCTGCGCGCCGTATTTTCAACTCTCTTCTTGGTGTTTGGATATCCCGATGAAACATTGTCTCTCGTGTTTGATATAACTATTACGTCAAAACCTCATCGAGCACACAAGCTCACGCGTGCTATATGGAGCAATCGAAAATTTTCTCTCATGTGGCTTTCCCCACTAAGAGAACACTCTCATCCAACACTCACCCGTCAATTCTGAGTGACTGTTGGTTTTGTTTAACTACACACTGTTTGAAATGTTTATCACTCACTTTAGCGCCAGTTTCAGGAACGTAACATCTTCTTTTCCTTCTCCTTCTTCTTCTGCGTTCGGTTTTTTCGCGTCCTCCTGCTGGTACTTCAATTCATTTATGTCCGCTATCAACATCTTCCTACAAAAAAAGGTCTTACACTGTATATTTGTATCTGTATTGTATAATTCATTTAAAAGTATCTTGTAACATTACGTTGAACATTACATTTTACTGCAAAGTAAGCGTTTTGATGTGTTAAATAGATTTACACAAGTTTTTACAAAAAACGTTGACCGTAAATAAAGTTCCATTTGGACTTCAGATATTGAATTTTAAAAACAATGTCTATTAATCCAGACTCAGAATCGCATTACTTACCTCGCATCACACTCGTTTCTGTATCTCAGGTACTCGGCAGCTAGTTCTTCTTGGAGCTGCAAGGTGAACATTAAAACTATAAGTTAGGTTACTTCTCTGATATGCACACGCCGAGTAATACTCTGCTACAAACTTTCATTCACTCTCATTTGGCCTAAAATTTCCATGTGCTTTTGTCTTCCCCATAAGTCCTCGTCGAATTTAAACCTGCTCTTTTCTTTTCTAAAGAATCATCGAAAATTTTCTCTCATGTGGCTTTCCCCACTAAGAGAACACTCTCATCCAACACTCACCCGTCAATTCTGAGTGACTGTTGGTTTTGTTTAACTACACACTGTAGCACGTAACTTATTTTACCACCAATACTGTTTACAGTAGTGATCCCGGCAAAGGCTGTATTCTTACTCTCCTCAGAATTAATTATTTTTCACACCGACCTAGTGTTCAACGTATTTTACTGTGTTCCAGCCACTCCTTGGTAAGACAATGAGGACACAAGTTGACCTGAGTGACCTTACTAGTTACAGCTATTGTACCTTTTCTACTTGAACTTGAAGGGACACTTGCTCCTCTCTAAAACAAAAATTAATTCAAAGGATTTGATAAATGTATTCTACTTGTATCTCCAATACTGATCAGATCTGGACTTGACTAACACCGTGCATCATATTCTAAGGTCCTAGGAATTCAACCAACAAATGGCTACACATTGAAAAATATTTCCCATTACACACATTGTGTACAATTCTAAGCCAAGTACCTAAACTACATGTACCCTAAAAATTAATGCCCTCCACCACCCCAGATTTAATGCTTTTCTTAAGGGCTTTGAAGCCATCAAGAAAATCAATAAATTTGGGGTGTTAAGACATGTCAAGACATTCAATAGCATTCACATTGGGACTTAAGCAACACCAATTACAGGACAGGAGAGGGTAAGGGAAGAATACACTTTAATTAATGTGAATTGATGACAGTTTTGTTCAAGATTGTACCAGCAGTAATCTGTGGCATGTAATTTTACATGTTTTATAACTTACACATGTAGGCACTCAGCACATTTAAAAAATTCCATGGTACATTTTTACCTTAGCTTTGAGATTATGTTTTGCAGTCTTTGATTTTCTTTCTTCATATCTAGCATATCTGAAGGTTAAAAAGGGACAATTAGTTAATTCTGGGAGGAAAGGCCACATTAACTAATTTATTAACTAAAGGTAAATTTATGTTTATCAGTAGCTTCAAGGAAACAACAATTATTGCACATGGAAAATTGTGTAAAATATAACCTACTACTAAACTGTGCCATGCGTTACATGTAGACATGTAGGCCAAGCTGGCTAAAATAAGGTGATATGCTTCAAGATTGGTTTTGTTATTTAACAAATTATGTCAATGAATCATATATTTTTTTTCATTCTCTTACTGGACAGCCCTATTTATATGTTGTACCTGATTTTTCTTCTTGTTTAACGGCTAACAGCTTCTTCTCACATTGTTCAGATACTGTGACTAACATGCTCTAAAAAGAAAAAACATTATAATAATACATTTACCTTTTTATTTGCTAACTGTTCCACAATTTACTAATTCTGAGATGATTCTTGTGATCAGATGTGTAGATCTCCAAATTATATGTAATACTACTTTCCCCAGGATACAGTATTGTAGACAATTTTTCTTCTAGATTTTCTAGATAGGCTTTAAAAAGCATTCACACAAAACGAATGCCACTACTTTATGTCTGGTAAGAGATTGCAATGTAGTTGTTTATCAATAAATAGCAGACATATACACATATACTTATCTTTCCAGTTTCATCAAGGGCCAGGCACTCGCCAAATTGCCCAGCTGTGACAGCAATTTTACCAGGCTGGTTTGACCATCTAGCAGAAAGTTTTTCTTATAAAGAAGTTCAGTTCTAATAGTTTTGGCCGCCTGTGAAAACCAGTTGCCCTCCTTCTGAAAACAGTAATGAAACCCCTGATCTTCTGAAGACTAATCTGGCTAAGATTACTTAATAACAGCTGTAAATGACTCTAAGGGACATTTCACAAAATAATTTCATAAATACCTTTAAAGGCTCCAGTTCTCTGATCTTTTCTCGTTGATGAACCAGCATCATCTCATACTCATGTTTTATTGCTGACAGCAGAGGCTTGTAAGTTTTAAAGTCCTCTATCAAGTATTCAAATACTTCCCTAAAGGCCTGAGAAGGAAGAAAGAGAAATAAGAATAAATTTTAAATAACACACAAATTTTGAGTAGAACCTCCCATATTTTTACAACTTGTTCATTGAGCTATCGTCAATGTACATGTACACGTGGTATCTGAAAAGTGCGAATGCTGGGGGGGGGGGGAGCTTATGGCTAAAATAGAATAATGATTGTAAAAAGGAAGAACTGTGTTGGCTAGAACACTATAGTTTAAGCACCTTCTCAGTATTCTCTCTCTCCCAACAGAGGTTGAACTTTTCAGTTTCCCAGTACTTTTAGAAAATTATGCCAACCCTACAAATCTCGGAGTAAATCACACCTGCAATCTTTTTTCACTTGGAACCATCTCAGCACAATCCAAGGAGCGTAGTTCTTTTTGCAAGAAAGCCTCCAGTTGTTCCAGAAACTTGGGCTTATGGACTCCCTTTGGCATGAACTCATTTGACTGTTTGGCAGCACCTGGGTTGAGATCTGGGGCACTGGGCCCAAGGGCATGTGCTGGCCATGTGTCCAAGGTACCTGCCCTTGTGTCAATGTAAGGCTACAGACACGGATAAAAGAAAAATGAATGAGAAACTTCAATCACTATTTTGAGATTTTGTTAAGATCACAGGACATGTTGATTAGATTTAAACAAATGTGGTGCATTTGCCTAATGATTTGTACATGTATGAGCTCTACATAGTCTGTACATGCGTCCTGGCGTTCACAAAAAAACCACTTTACTCCTACATCTAGTAACAAGCACAAGACTACATGTAATATCCTACATAGGATAGACAGCAAACAGTCTCTCTTTTCTCAAAAATCATCAAGCAAGCGATCTAGCGTGACTGTGACCGCAAATGTGCGTATGGCAATGTTGCAGACCACTAGTGACGCAGGCATCAGAAGACGAGTGAAAAGAGACACTGCAATGGTTTCATACAACATTTTGGATGCCCAGCACTCTGGTGACGGAGTAATTCTATTGGTCAGTCTACGAAGTTATGATACACATCTGTCAGTAACCTTTATAAGTGAAATGCAGCGTACAACAAATTCTGCTACAATGTTTGTCTCCTACGGTGCGACTCCTGTAGTTAACAATTATTCAATGAAGTGGAGGTAAATATCCATCAGTTTCACACTGAGGTGAATAATTGTTTTAGTATTATACCACACAAGCTGAATAATTAGCGGACCAAAACGTTATTTTATGTGTGACAAGCGGTCAGAAATTTTAAACTCTCTCGTGCCGGCTGCTCGGAGGTGAATAGTACTTATTGATCACCTCCAAGTTAACCAATCAGAGTACATTAAAAGCACTATTCACCTGTGTGGTATATACTAATTCATGATATTGCAGTCTCTCTTTTCACTCGTCTTTCCAACACCTGCACTACTAGCAGCTCATGTCACGCTCATGATCATGCCAAGATGCTTACTTGATGATTTTTGAGGAAAATAGAGACTGCTCGCAGTCTATACCTAAGAAGACTGTAGCTACGGGTAGCAACAACATCTCTCACTTCAAACTCCCTAATCAAACATGAGTGAAGCACAAACAATGTTGAACCATCTGACTAATCTCTGATTTCTTAAACTAGAACAGACCTGAACCTTTTTTTCTTTCTTCTGAAGAGATTCATTCCTCAATTAGCACAAAAATTCAAGCCCAGTCCCCCTTGGAACTCCAAAGAGCTCTTTGATGTCAATGGAGTGGTTTACAAGCCAGAGGAAAAAAAAATGCTGAGTGTAGAAAATTGCACAATCTCATGTACTTACCTGCAATACAGCAGCAGATGGAAGAGCATACTTCTGAGTTCCAGATGTACTAGTCAGACTGTAACTTGGACCACTTAGACCAGTGTACTGCTTTAGAGCTTTGGTGTTCGTCTGAGGATAGGTTGTCAAGGAGCTTCAAGGAAGTAAAATAAAGCATCGAGTGAGGTCGATTTAATTGATAGGTCACACTGGACACAAATGTGAGGTAAAATAGAGCACATTCATTGAATTTCCCAAAGGATGTTCAGACGGCCCAAAGTACGTCTTGTCTTGTTAGGGGACAGTGCAAAGAGGTCGGTACAGTACAGACCGAGCGCCCAATGTTCTCCCAAATATTCTCTCAACTATGCAAAATCATGTAGCTTGGGTTGTACACATGTACGTGTAATCTTGCAATGTTGGGTCGAAGATTTTAAACCCCAGCATGACACATTCAACACGGGATTTCACAAGGGCATTATGCCCTTTCTTGGATTGTGCATTTGGTCGTAAGCCGCGCTGAAAACCTTATAATCTCTTGGTAGAGATCTTACAACTTTTCAGCACCAGCTCAGATGTATGCTCATAGATCCAGTTTGTAAGGAAAAGGTAATCAGACTCCCTTAAACTATTTCGGGTGAAGTTGTCATTTTCATAATTCTCGTCTGACACTTGTTCGGTTCGGCAATCCATAAACTTGCGATGAGTATTTTTGAAACTTTCCGCGTTAATTGAAGCGAAAACTGGAGTTTGATCGCAGTTTACAACTAGGACATATATATACTTACGGTGGCAGTGGAGGGAGCTTTGTGTGAGACATAGCCCTGTTGTTATAAAACTTGATTCACTGTTGTTTTTGTCTGGTCAACTTGCAATCTCTTCGGCCATTTTACTTTGTTGACTTGGTAACCGTTGCGATAAAGAAAACTAGTACCCAAGCTTCACGCGGTATAATTAGTTATTCGTTTCCAATCTCTATATCCAGAAGCTGAGGGAATATATTTTAGCAGCTGAAATGACTCAGTTCTTGAGGGTTAAAAAAAAAAAACTATTTTCACTTAGAAAATATACCTACTGCTTGTTCTCTATGTGGAGGTTTAAACATACGGAGGGTTAAATTTAAAATGTACCAGAAGAATCTCTTTTTTCCTTGCAACTGTATAAGCTACTAAAACAAACCCCTTCCCCCAAAGAAAACTAGTAGAATTCCTTCGTTATTTAAAAGCTATATCGGACGAAAATTTTTTTGTTACATCCTGCGTGTGCCCTAAAGGCCAGGTGGATGAAATTATTCAATTTCTGTCATAATAGGCATTAATCATGAATCCATAATTTTTATGTTCAACGTCATCTGACTTCGAAACTTTTGAATGGTCCAGTTATACGTGCCTAATGGAATCTGATCTTTTGAACATGTTGAATTAACGAAACTTTTTAAATCGTTTTCTTCCCCTACATAGTTTTTGAAAAGGAATTTCGGATGTATTTAATCAGTAAAAAGAAACTTCCAAACTGACAGCTTGCTCTATCCATTATTCAAATGCGGCGAGAAATGGTGCATAGAAAATGCGACGCGTATTTAAAATGCGCTCTTAAACAACTTCCGTTTTTGCTCGCCACTTGCCTTCTGTGCGGAAACAGAACTATACCATCCACAAGTCTCGATGAAATATTTTCCCAATTAGCAGGCTCGGGGCTATGAAGTGAGCGATGTCGGCCAAACCTGACTCAAAAATACCAATGAAACTGTACGTTGTGCGAGTTTCGCCATGCTGTCGGGTTGTTTGGTTATACGCACTACAGGTAAGGAATTCTAAATTAAGTAATGTTTGACTCTTTTGCGGCTCTAGCTTTACAATTCATACGAAAATCATTAACATTTTTACCACAAAGAAAGAAAAACAAACTGAAGCTAAATATCAAAATGACTTGTGCACACTAAACCATTCGTATGCTTGTTTGTGTTCCTAAGAGACACGCGGTTGTTTTGAAGACATTTCTATTGACAAGTCCCTAACCATAGTTATAGACTTCTGCCTTGTTTGTGCGTTTGTTGTTCGGCCCCTAGATGCATACCAAACGGCTGAATTCAGGCTCTAATTAACATTATCTCGGTAAGGACTTTGCCGACTAGATAGAAGTTTTCGGTAGAATGTTTTATGATTTATCGATACCGGTTTTCGCTTATAATCCGCCTTGCCACATGGTATTATCAATACATACAATGTATTTGTCAGTGCAGTGGCAATACGCTTTCGATTTATTTTACTGAAGAATGCCAAAGCCGCTAACGGAACTTGCACTTTTCATCTACAGTGTACGGGTTTCCGTATGCCAATTATAGTTACCTCAAATACATATTTAAATTTCACAGCAATTCATTCACGGTTCACTTATACGGGTGGCATGATGAAGATAATTAACACGAAGACCGTCCAAAAAAAGGAGCAATTTCTCTTTACAATTAATCATACTTCGTGAATGATCTCAGATTGAAGGCTCTGTTTTACTTTCCAAACTGCAAACTGGCAAAATTTCAACAGATCAAGACAGTGCACATGTTCTCTCACATCACTCCATTCAGATTCTCGTAATTTTTCACTTCTTTGTTTTCATTGTTTGCGAGTGGGTAATTACACTCATCGATCTTTTTGTTTTCGCGTTTATTCAGCACAACATACCTTGCGAATTGACGGACGTCAATGTTTTCAACGGAGAACACCGTGAGCCAAAGTTCGTGGCGATGAATCCACACGAAGAAGTTCCGATATTAGCCGACGGCAGCACTACAATTTTTGGAGGGTTTGTTTCCTATTATTGCTAATTTTCAAGGGTAACTAACTGATGGTAACCTTGTGCAACTAATTTGCATACTTGTTTTCCAATAATTGATTTCACAGTTGTTTCACCCCTAGTCCTTCTGTTCAGTCTACTGTAAGAGCCAAATCGTTAATTGCAACTAAAAATAGGGTATTTAACTGAAACGAAGTGAGTTCTGCCGTCTGTTTAACTGCTTTCCTATCGATGGATAACATGTCTAAGAAAACAAGGTTCTTGTATTTTCGTCCAAACCTCTTGATCACGATTTACAGTAAAATTTAAAACGTTCTCTGGTTAACAGTATTTTAAAACACAAGCTTTCGATTGCCTAAACTTCAGCCTTCAACGGGTAAAATGATGAAAGAGGCGCTAAAAATTCTTAACCACAGTGTAATAAAAATAATACAATAGAATACAATTATGGAAATAAACTTTAAAATTTTGGTAAAAAGAATGGTGTATTGTCTTGGAAGTGGACAAGAGTTATTATTGCCTGTATTAAGGGGGCGTCATGGCTTGCCAAGATTGAAAATGTAATAGGATGTATAAAAGAATTGTTAAAGTTAATGTCATTATATGGTCTTTTTTCCTCGTAACAAAAATTTAGCTCTTGAGTTTTATTTCCATAATTTCATTCTATTGTATTCTTTTTATCTTACTTATTTATTTTCTTTTACAAGAAACGTAAAATTATATGCAAACAGTGTAAACCAGAAAAAATTTTGCACAGTGCGAAAAGGCCTTGGTACTAGTTTAGCGGTACTGCATGTGTTTTGCGGGTCATGTTGGCGTAAGAGACGATAACGGGAGACAAAGATGAACTATCTATCTTTTTTTTTTTTAATTTCAATTTCATCCTCTTCAACAAGATCGTGTGCTCTCTGCACATGGTTCAACTAAGTTATAAGCAGAAAGTGAATGTTAATGGTGGATAGACAAGGTTTCTTAGTTATTTCAAAAGGAGCTCAAAATTAGTTTTATACATTGGTTCATGGAAGGTATTTGTGTTCATTTTTCTCGTAAGGTTGGCGATACTACGCTACTTATCTCAGAAGTACACGAACTTTGCTGGCTGGGGAAAGACACTGGAGGATCGATACAGAGTACATTCTGTTTTGGACTGGGCAAGCTCCAAGTTACTCAAGTAAGAATCTTTCCTTCTTGACTAGAAAAAAAACGGCAGTTTTTACAATTAGCGAATTTTTGTTAATGTAAGGTTTGAACAGCGCTGACGAGAGAAAGATAGGAAAGGTATTGAATTGGCAGTACGCTCCCTGGCGCGGCATGGCTTGGATACGAGCTGTCCCAGAAGACATCAGTGAGCACAAGCTGAGCTTGAGTAGCCATCTTAGAGGTGAAACACACCTAAATTGTTGGCTTGCAGAAACCGCTGGACTTAACTCTGTGTTCCTTGAAATAAATATAATCCGAGACTGTTCTTTTTTGACATACCTTACCATTTTTACATGGGTACGTAAGTTTCCTCTGAAATAGTAATTTAAAGAAAACAAAATCAAAAAATTCGGAACCGCTTTGAATTAACCTATAGCCTCACAAATTAATCCTAACAATGACCTCACCTGTTACACATGTTAATCGTACGTTCTTTGTTTTACACAGTGTAGTGGGTTTCAAATACGTATACCCTCAGTTGCTGGAAAGATATCACCTTTCGAGCGAAGCTGGCACTGAGGAGTTAATAGAGAAAGGTCTGGCGCAAGCGAGTGAACTGTTAGAAGCCATAGAGAGTCTCTATCTCGGCGAGAATCCCTTCCTGTGTGGTGCTGAATTAACAGTGGCCGACAGTTATGTAGCCACTATCTTGTGTCAGGCTGAGTGGGTCGAATTCGACTTTAAACTATGGCCCAAGCTCACCGAGTGGCTGGTGAGGGTCAAAGGTCAAGAGCGTTGGAGTGAGGTGCATTCAACGCACAACGACTTTGCCAAGAAGCTTGAAAAAGTTGCGTCCATCGATTATGAATCGTCGTGACAAGCAAATGGAATAAGTAGATAATAAGATCCTAAACGATTTTGATTTTATGTATTAATGGTTTTTTTAAAAAAATTAAAAGACTCGTGAGGTAGTAAAATATCGATAAATGCCCTGGTAGATATATAGGTCTACAACCCAAAGATTATTCAACGGTAAGAAACATCTCGCGTTCGGCTTGATGTCCGGGCCCGGATATATTGAGTTACGGCGCTTTTCATTTCTTTTTCGCCGGTAACAAGCCGATAAAACCTTAATCCTCTGAATTATAACATCGGGAAAAATGAGGAACGAAAAACAATATGAATGGAAGCCCAAGAAAGGAGAAGAACTAGCGAGAGTCTTGCGATCGCTTTCACGTGCACAACCTTTGGGTAAGAGGCCTAACTGGTCTGAGCGACAACACCCGTCAAAATTCTTAAAAGCTAAGAACTGTAGGACTCTTGACGTGTATTTAAAATGAATAAAATAAAATAAAGTGAAATAAAATAAGAAAAGAAAGAAATGGACTCTTGAAATAGCGATTAGTTATTTTATGTTCATTAGAGACAAGCTTTATGGAAGGAATATTTCAGTAAATTAGATCTCTAACAAGAGAGGCCCTGTTTGGTCACAAGAACGCTATTCCTACCCAACTACCTGAAACATAGACGAGAAAAATTTCACAGTTGCATTTTCTTTTGCCACATTTATTTATTTATTTATTTAGTTTACAAATAGCAGAACTAGTAGAAAGCAAGTAATACATTTAGTAACACGGTACTTGTTTTGACATGAACCTTTTTTTGCCAGTTTTTACATATATAAACAAAGAGAGTCTCATTTTATACACTGTTATGTTGTATTACAAACTTGAAAGGAATATAAATTTTGAGTCTTACAATTAAGCGAAATGAATTATTTCTAGCAAAAAAGTATTTTTCATAAAAGTACACATGCAGCAAAGTTAATCTGTCAAGTCTTTATACCGCAGCTAGCTTTAATTTGTTCAGTTTCGATTTGGCAATATATTTCGCAGTATGTCCATGATAGCGTGTCGAATGTGCCTCATTTTCCAGCAGTAAACTACAGGATTAAGAGATGAATTAAAAAGCATCAGGCTCCCTAAGTAAAGCGATAGACCATTTAAAGCGTTACTTGGTGCAACGAATTTACCAACAACAGAGGTGCAATACTCTGGCAAACAACAAACCAAAAACGCAAGATAAACGTAGAAAGTACTGATGGTAGATTTTTTTTGCCTCACAAAATTTGCCATTTTGCCATTCACTTCTTCTTGTTGTACTTGCAGAGCTTGAATTTGATTTGTGTGGCGTCGTGCAGTGAAATATATTCTGCAATATACAAGTGTGGTACACACGAAGCAAATGCCGAATATAATTGCGAAAACTGTGTCAGCAACATGTCCAACATCCTTCGCGATTCGCAAAGCGATTATTAATGGGAAAAATGTGCTCAACACCCATATTGAGATCACCACAGCAACAACACGCTTGTGAGTTACAAACTCCTGATATCTGAGGTGAAGATGTATAGCCAAGAATCTGTCGACACTTATGGCCACAACACTAAAGAACGACGCATTAACAAACAAAGGAGCGATGATGTGAAGCGAAGTGATGGTGAAATAAGTAGGATTGGCCATCCAAGCGATATGCAAAGGTTGAACCAGTAAACCAACACCAAGATCAGAAACAGCAAGACTCAGGAGCAATGTTTTTAAAGGCTTTGGTAACGACGAAGTTTTTCTCATGGCATGGATTGTTAAAATGTTCAATGCGATGGCTGTGTAGGACGAGAAAGCGTTGAACATACAATTAACGATGTACGAGTAGTAGAGCGGGTCTTTAGCTTCTCTCATTGTATAGCCTGCACCTCAAGAAAGAGCACTGAACGATGTTACATTGAACATGTACCGAGTTGTGCACGAGAAAGTTTGATGTTTAGTAAAGCTGGTTTAAAATGTTTTACTCTGATTGCTTCCTGTCTACGAATGATGAATACGTCTACCAATGAAGCTACCATCTGGTTTTAGGTTGAAATGAATCTCCAAAAATTGACATTATTAAATGTTGATAATTCAGTTTTTGTTTATTTTCTCATTAGCACAGCTTGAAAAACGAAAGTAACGAGCGAAAAATTAAATAGTGGGGTTTGTTTTTGACGTTCAAATGACAAAAAGTTGAGACTCTTATTTCTCGGTTTACATAAAAATGAGAGTTCGAAAAAAAAGTGATGAATTTAGGCTGTAATTTGCATAACAAGGAAATCGCTTTCCCAAAAAGGGTTCATTATTAACCGAGATTTATTTTGTAGAACCTTATTTGAGTCTCATTGCTCCTTAATGAACAACTTCACAGAAAAAAAGTTGTACAAAAAAATAGAAGTAGCTTTTTAGTACACTCCTCACGAATTTTCCAGCACGTTAACTTCGGAAAAAAGTTATATTGTTGCACTCGAACCTTGATATAAAACTCTTACTGCAACGCAAACTATACGTACATAAATCTACACTCATGAGCTATTAGCTGATAAAATATATTTTTCATCCTCAAGCTGTGTGTTTACAAGTGAGGTAGAAATCCGCTGTAATCGATATCTCGAACCGATTATAAAATATCAACTACTTGCATCATTGACAATTATCGTTCGATGCAGTTTTTCATCCTTTTCATTGGCCAAGAGCTCACTACGTCGCTTGCAAATAACTGAGGACAAATAATGATCTGCTCGTGCGTAGTTTTTTAAATATGAAACAAAAACAACAACAACAACAACAACAACAACAACAACAACAACAGCAACAACAAAACAACAAAAAAAATAGTGATCAAAGGAAAACAATTATTGAACACGGTTATCGCAAAATATCGTGATTTGTCAGTGTCTCGTACATCAATTATTAGCCTCACCTGCTGAGGTAACCAACCACAGCGCATGATTTCGCACGCTTGCCCGCTCGTTTTCAGAGTGAAACCTCCGTTTTCAAATTCCTCCGGAGTAGTGTGGTCGGGACCTCAAAATATCTAAAATTCTCTGAAAATACTTTAATCTGAAATGAGTCTGTTTAATATTCGAGAAACAATTAATGATTGTCAACCTAAACATGTCATATTTAGCATTAAAGGAGAAATCATCCTTGTTTTACATAATTTAAATTGCTATAAATAAAACCACGCTGAGTTGATATACGTTTTGTCTTTTGTCGCTTTCCCCGGGAGTGAACTCACTGTTTTCAGATTCCATTGATCGTGTGAACCATACTAAAAAAATTTCATTGTTCCACTATCGATGCAATTTGGGATAATTCATCTGCTTTTGATCAATCAGAAACGAGTGTTTCTGAGCAGCAATTTTCTGAGAATATCGAGAATCGAAAGACACTCACGAAAAATCGATTTTTTTTCTTTTATCCTGCCAAAACAGCCCCTTGGGTGGACGTATTTGAGCAAAAATACATGTAGTTTAAAGTTACGATTTATTTTAAGGATGATATTGAGTCCGTACTGCACAGTTTCAGCGCCCAAATGTTTATAAACATTATAAATCTCACTCGATGGAATGCGAATCGATGTTATTCGTTACGAACCACATACCTTATCTTTAAGGCCTTTCAAATTCTTTTTCCAACAGCTTCATTGATTTTTACAGCTGCGAAGTTGTCTCATTGAGTGATATGAGAAAGAACGAAGGATAAAGGTTCGACCACTTCGCATCCATAATAGCGGTTGATTTGAAACTTTGAATTTCCTCATGAAAGTAGTTGCGAAATGTTTCCATTTTGTGATGCTTAAATGAGACAAAACAAAAAATGCAAAGAAACTCTCAAGAGTGCGCAGTACGGACTGGAAATCATCTTTAAGGGAGAAATTTTAAACAGTTTAAAAGTCAGATATCCGCTTTGAAAGTTCGAATTCTCACCTTTGTTTGAAAAAATACAGCCAGAGCACTAGCTTAAAGCGATCATATAAAAACGAAACTTAGATACATTAGATGTGTTTTACCTCATCAGTCAGCTCCAATAAACGAACTGTTATTGGACTGTAACGACAATCTTCGACAAAATAAATGGAACATCTGGACCACCCCTCCCCCCATTTCAATGATACCAAAATGGCGCGTTTTTGCTCCTTCGCGCATTCCTCATTGCTCGGGGGGCGGGGTGGAGGGATGGGGGATAATTGTTCCGTTTTATTCTGTCCAAGATTGTAGCTTGCAACTGAGGGTTCGTTTCTTTAAGAAAATCCAAGTTTGGATTCTTGAATCCGAAAAAATCCGAAAACGGATTTTGCGTTTCTTTACTAAACGGATCAATCCAAGATCTCTCGGATCATGGTGCGTCAAAGGAACCGAAGAATCCACCACCACTACACCTCCACCACGGATTTAAGAATCCAATCTTGGATTTTCTTAAAGAAACGCATCCTGAGGCTCTTTTTCTGAATATTCCCCCGCATGAGCCTCCATTGCAAGCTAGTTCCAGTCCAGTAACGAGAATAGGAACATGGTCTATTACCTCCGACAATCCATTTTAAAGCGATAGAAGAAATTCAGGGGGAGATTTCACTGTTCTGGCCGCGGTTGTTCGAAGGCTGAATGAAGCTATCCACCGGATAAATCGCTATCCAGTGGATAAGTGTTAACAATACAAACCACGCTTTCCACTGGATAGTGATTTATCCGGTGGATAGCGTTATCCACCTTTTGAATAACCCCGGCCAGATGCAGACTACGTGCAGTCTCTCTTTTGCTCGTTACTTCCCGATGATTTTTGAGAGAAAGACAGACGGCTCGCAGTCTGGTCACGTGGTCGACAAGGTAACGAAAAGTGTCAAAGTAAAGAATGAGGTGCAATAGGTTTATTTCGTGAATATATATTGACAGGTGGACACGCTAGTTATTCCATCACAGTTTTACTTGAGGAATGCATAACTTTCAAATACTATCTACAATCTATACAATTTATTTCTACCTGCAACGTTAAATAGTTACGTACCTATACACTTAATTACGTCTAAAACGAGAAAAATTAGTACAATACGTTTGTACATTATCTCTCCTTTAAAAGTAGTTCCAGTTTTTTGGCCTCTACTTTATGCGGCGCGCGGGGCGTAGCCGCGAGATGAAAAAGTGCTCTTCGCCGCTCGCACGTGGGACTCAAAGGTGAGCCTGCTCGCAGGCTAGAATATAGTAAAAACCCGCACATAAGAACCTAGGATTCTTCTAGTTAGTCTCCACAGATTCTTATATAAATGGTGTTTACCGTAAAATTAGGCTAACTAGGTTCTTAATCAGGATCTTAATTTTGTTTACAATACTGAAAAAAAAAAAAACACTCATGGTGGGGCCTTTATATTGAATAATTGAGTGTTCCAGCTAGTTTTTGTTACCTTTTGTTGTATGTTGTATTATGTTACAAAAAAAAAACTTTATATTTCAAGAATAAGAACCTGTATTGAGGTGAACGGCGCTTAACTGGGAAATTTTAGTCTCACAGGTTCTTAAATGTCAGGTTCTTATAAGCGGGTTTTTACTGTAAAGTTATTCATAAAATGCTGAGCAATATGCGACCCACCAGGACGAGTCAGAGTACAAATGACGAGTGAAAAATATAAAAATTCTTCAGTTTAAAGAGTCTAACAAGACCGCTTCACCACATCCAGGTTATGCCTCATCGTACGCGGCAACAGTTACATTTGTGCTCGTTTATTGTGTTACATACACTTTGCTGTGTGGAACGGGATTATAAAGTGTAGAAGAATATTAAAAAAGTGAATATATTTGAGGGTTACAATGGTCGAATCCTGTAGTCCTCGTCGCCTTGCTAACTTCCTCGCTTGCTCAAAAACCTCACTTCAATGCAGCGAACAA